CCCCAAAACCCCAAAACCCCAAAACCCCAAAACCCCATTTCTGAATTTTAATAAATCTTAATAATAATTTTAAATAGAAAGTATGGCAACCAAAGCGACCAGAAACAATCCATTCGCAGAATTTACTAAGCCGATGAACAATGATAATGATCATGACCAGAACAGTAGTCAGAATATTAATAATCGGGCTCAGCTTAAAGAAGAGCCACAGAAGAAGAACAATTGGGAGAAAACAACCTCTGAATTTAATGGTAGAATGACCAATCCTTTCCGAGAGCCGAATACTTATTCAGGCGATTCACAATCTCATAACGAGACTGATACTACGATGGAGGATACTTATACTCAGCCCTCTCGTGGAGGCCAAGATTGGAATCCGGATGCTCATAAACCACAGCAGCTTGGACAATATGGTCAAGATGCATCAGAACGTCCAGCGAAAGTAGGGTTTGGAGCTGGAGAAAACTCTGTAAAAAGACCAGGCTTTGACCCACTAAACGAACCACCATTGTTAGAAGGTAAGATAATTGGTTTTTATTTTTTACTAAAATGTTGTTCACACGTGTAGATCTGGGAATCAACCTAATGCAAATAAGAAGAAAGGTGTTATCTATTATTAGTATGAGGAAGATAAACCCTGAAATAATCGAAGATGCAGATCTTGCTGGTCCTATCTTAATAGCAATCATCTTCGGTACCTTACTTTTACTAAGAGGAAAGATTGAATTTGGAAGAATCTATGGCTATGGACTCACTTCATGTGTACTGTTCTTTATTCTGTTCAAAGTCTTAGTTGCAAGGGAACATTCACTAGGCCTTTATACAATCATGAGCGTCTTAGGGTATTGATTAATCCCTTTCAACTTCTTTGCAGTTATTATTCTGTTCCTCCCAATCATGAACGTTGTTGGAGGAATTATCAGTCTAGGTATTGTGTGTTGGTCAACATATATGGCAACACAATTCATCGAAGTAATGTTACACACAAAAAATAAGAAAGCAATTATAGGATTTCCAATATTCCTATTCTATATGCGTTTCCTTCTAATAACAATATTTTAGGTGAGTTTTTAATAAGAGTTTCAATAGATCTCCTGGTGAAAGGGGTTTTGGGGTTTTGGGGTTTTGGGGTTTTGGGGTTTTGGGGTTTTGGGG